TACTAACACAACTAGATGGTTAGTAAACCTACTTAAGCTTTCTGATTGGAGGATTAAAACGGAAGTTTCACGCTCCAACTTGGGGATCTGAATATAGTGCTCCAACACCTCACAAGTGAGGTTTATGAACACGCCTGGATGACGTACTTGGACTTCATGATACGATGATTCTATCACGATGGCCAGCAAGAGCACTGTAAATTTATCTCCACCGAACCAAACAGGAGGGAAAAATGCAACAGATTATTTCCTCTATCATCAAGTTACGCAGACTGAAGTCTCACGTACTACCATCTCCTTTGGATCAGAACTGTCATACTACGTGCCTACAAGACTGCTGGACCCGATCCGACCCTCCATGAGCTTCTAATACTCTTGATATTAGAGCGCTAACTTCTACAATTGATCTACACAAATGTTATTTGTAATAATGGAGGGTTTATTTCTGGAGATCCGATATGGTGGTTGCCAACCATTATCTGAGAGATATCACCACCGAGGACGTCTCAGGTATCCACCAATTCGATCCCATGGTCCTCGCACAACAGTTGACAGTTCCTCGGAGAAGATAAGTCAATCTTACAGATTTCTACTTATCTTATAACAGTACTAAATAGCTACATGCTATATATAATTTGCTTAAGTTCTTTTTTATCATCACAGTACTATGATTATTACATCATACAATATATAAGTTAACAACTCTACAGAGTTTGTTATTATATATTTACCTTAAGTTAATCATATCTTAAGCGTAGTACTATGGTTACATTATAAATGCATTAGCTAACAAACTCTACAGAGTTTTTGGCTATTATATACGTAGCTTAAGTTAATTATATCTCAAGCATAGTACTATACTCATATTGTAAAACTATATTAGCTTACAAACTCTACGGAGTTTTTGCTATTATATAGGTAGCTTAAGCTTATTCATATCTTAAGCTCAGTACTATGTTTATATCATATAAGTATATTAGCTAACAAACTCTAAAGAGTTTTTTGCTATTTGGCTTAAGTTTCATCATATCTTAAGCATTATGGTTACATTATAACATGTATTAGCTAACAAACTCTACGGAGTTTTTGCTATTATATATGTAACTTAAGCTTATTCATATCTTAAGCGCAGTACTATGTTTATATCATATAGGTATATTAGCTAACAAACTCTAAAAGAGTTTTTGCTATTATATATTTGGCTTAAGTTTCATCATATTTTAAGCTTTATGGTTACATTATAACATGTATTAGCTAACAAACTCTACAGAGTTTTTGCTATGATATATGTAGCTTAAGGTTTCCTTCATATCTTAAGCTCAATACTATGTTTATATCATATAAGTATATTAGCTAACAAAACTCTAAAAGGTTTTTTTGCTATTATATATTTAGCTTAAAGGTCACATGCAACCAAAAAATCAAACATAATTAAAACACAATTATCACTTATTCATGACATATAATATACATTGCTGGTTACGAAAAAATATATCAACAAAATTATAAGCGTACAATCGCAAATCGAAAGTGCAAAATTGTGTACTTCGGTTTACTTCCCAAGAAACGAAGCAGCCGGGATACCGAACCCAGTCAGAGCGGGTGGGTGTGCACTCAAGTGTAACGGCTGGTTCATTTGCAGATGCCTTCACGGCTAATTGTGTGTATATATATAGAGAGATGTTGGGTTTTGTAAATACATGCTCATTTTTTTGTGTATAACATTTTGCAATCAACAGACATCATAACATGTCATGTGTTCAAGTATCACACCTGCCTGTCTGTGTAATTACATAATGTGACAGAGACCGAACTCGGGCCATAAATCAATGCATTTTGTTTATGGTGTATAGCCTGATTGGTGTTAAGTTCAAATTGCATGTGGTCAGTGATAGCAGCTGTGTATTGAATATTGTTATTAGCAGACAGGCAGGCAGACACACAGGTGTCAATAAAACAAGACATTGAGTTTTGTCTGTGACAACGACATATCTATTTTACAGTTAGAAATTCTGTCAACGCTAAATAATGACATTGCTTTTTGGTATCGAACTGAGAAAGTGTCTCTGTAAGAAGAACGTGTGGTGAAATAGACAAATGAAATTATATAAACAGTTAATTGACTGTCATAACATATAAAAAGCTCGCGCCTGTGAGATATCAACAAAACATTAGAAAAATAGTTCACACCAAAGCCTTCACCGAGTATTCACCCGACAACCCGCTTCCAAGATGTGCGAACCTATTTACTTGCGCACGTGCTATGAGCGCAGCCCAGCTGTTGAAACCCGTTTTCCCCAGAAAAGTCTGGGGAAAATTAGTGAAACGTTTGAACTCCGATTTCACGCGTTTTTTTTCATCGCGTTATTTTTCAACTTTATAAGCTGAATTTGCATTTTTGACGATTTGTTTCGGTATGTCCATACAGAAAGGTATCAGAATCTGCAAAGTTGTGTTTTACGTTGCATGTGACCTTTAAGGTTTTCCTTCATATCTTAAGCTCAATACTAGGTTTATTTCATATAAGTATTTTAGCTAACAAACTCTAAAGGGTTTTTTGCTATTATATAATTAGCTTAAGTTTCATCGTATCTTAAGCAGTATGGTTACATTATATAAGGTATTAGCTAACAAACTCTACGGAGTTTTGCTATTATATATATAGCTTAAGTTTAATCATATCTTAAGCTCAGTACTATGTTTATAACATAAAAGTATATTAGTTAATAAACTCTAAGGAGTTTTTTTGCTATATACATTTAGCTTAAGTCTAATCATATCTTAAGCTTAGTACTATGGTTACATTATAAATGCATTAGCTAATAAACTCTACAGAGTTTTTGGCTATTGTATATGTAGCTTAAGTTAATTATATCTTAAGCACAGTACTATACTCATATTGTAAAAATATATTAGCTAACAAACTCTACAGAGTTTTGCTATTATATATGTAGCTAAAGCTTATTCATATCTTAAGCTCAGCACTATGTCTATATCATATAAGTATATTAGCTAACAAACTCTAAAGAGTTTTGCTATTATATAATTAGCTTAAGTTTAATCATATCTTAAGCTTAGTACTATGTTTATATCTTAAAGTAATTTAGCTAACAAACTCTAAGGAGTTTATACTAGCATATTAACAAGCTTAAGTCTATTAGTCTTAAGCATTGTATTAATGTTATATATACTTTATCATAATAAGTACATTGTAATAAGTACATTGTAATAACCTTTATATGGCAGCTGATAAGTTAGCAGCAGGAATTCATCAGTTCAGTGCCTTTATGAAGTTCCCATAGGGTTATTACAATCATCACAGTTCAAATCACTAATTATTAAAATCCAAAGTATTATATATTCCCACCTCCTTTTCCGTAGGATTCTACAAGCAAAAAGAGCATGAGTCAGGATAAGGAAAAAATATGTAATTTTTAGAGTAAAATTGATATTTTATACTTATCCTGACTCATGCTCTTTTTGCTTGTCTTCTTCTTCTTGCGAACATAGTGGAACACTTGTATCTCCCTAATTGAAGCTCCCTTCAATGTAAAATCACTAATTAGTACTCACCACGAGTTACCTCCATTCCACAAGCGCGGGAACGAGGGCGCCACCTCCACCCATGTGCCTCACTCTCTCCTCATATACTGAGCCCAACATTTGAATTTACAGGGAAATCCAAAGTGTTATGTGGGGAGGATGGGAGGGCTTACCTCATGAGTCAGGATAAGTATAAAATATCAATTTTACTCTAAAAAATTACATATTTCATGTATCTTTGAGTCATTCTGTCACCTGAACTGGCATAAAGTCATCCCTTGGACTTGGAAAGAGTAAAATTATTAAGCCTACCAACTAGTTTACAAAGTATTTATATTAGTACCTCAAGTATTTATACACATGCATTTTACATTGCATAAAGCCAATTGTCTCTATTGAATATTTTGTAACTATTCCAAATTAAAAACTATTTTGTACATATCAATATTGATATTTGTTAGAAACTATTTGATCTCAAATAGTTCCTAACAAATATAAATATATTAAATATGTACAAAATAGTTTTTAATTTGGAATAGTTACAAAATATTGCTGAAGCAGAACAAATGTATTTAGAAAATAAATAACAAATTAAACAAACAAAAATATTCTAATTTGGAATTACATACTTTTATTGAAAAGGGAAATGACAGAGTCAATGTGGCCAAATATGAATAGAACATCAACTTGATAAAGTTGGTAACACATGGCTGTTTTATGAATTGCAGTATATTAATTAATAGTTTTTTTAATTCAATATAAATACATATTACTCAAATGCATTTCGTTAACCATGTCATTGATTCCCGAAATATGTTTTGTGACAAACACTGTCCGTGATACTGAAAAGAAACACGTTTAGCGATAGAACTGCACTGGTTGTCAAAAATATATTATAGCTAAAGAAAGGTACTCATATGTTTTCGAATTGACTCATGGTTGTCGGTTGTCAGTAAGGAACCGATAATCCTTGAAGGAATAATAATTTTTCGATCTTATCATCCCCAAATGATCCAATAATTACGACTGTCAGCAGCTGTGACAGCCAAGCATGGTAGTACACTTGGTCCGGTCTAGTAAGGTCATATTAGGCGGTCGCGCAATTTGGCACCACAACTGGATCTTGCGTATTCGCTTGTCACCGGAAATCTAGTAGCGAAAGTAGCGCCTCGCGAGACTTACGGGCCCTATAAAACTGAAACCTTACAGAGATGAACCCACAAACAGTGTTAGCTTAGACCATTACTTTCCATTTGTGTTTGTACTGATGTGTATTGTGGTATATATATGCTGTTAGAGGATTTACTGTATGGTTTTTGAAAAAAGTCACCAAGAAAACCTTCTCATAACTCAAAATGTACCATGTAGAAATAAATGTATGTAGCTAAATGTTTGCAGTGACTTTACTCAAAGGTTGAAAATCAAAGGATTCTAAATGTAAGTGTCAACATTTGTAGGCATGACAACAACCAATACATCAAACACCACAGACTTCATCAAGGAAAAGGCTTGTGATGGACTTGAGTACCTTGGGGTAAGGGAAGACTTTTGGAGACAGCAGAAGCCAATGTATGCCAGGAAGAGAGACAAACAAAAGCAAGCCCAGGTACTTAGCAGCAGTGGCAGCAAGCTGAACAGTTCAAGTAGCACCGATCCTATGAAGTACATCCTCATCAGACTGGAACAGATAGATGAAGGTTTGTGTGACAGTTTGTCTGCTCACAGCATACACCAGGACCCCGTTCACAAAACTTTTGTAAGCCCAAGATCTCGCAACTTTTCTCGTACTATTGTACCTCCTATGTTACAGTATGGGAGGTACAAATGCTACAAGAAAGGTTACGAGATCTTAGGCTTACGAGAGCTTTGTGAAACGGGGCCCTGGCTTGTAAGACCATCATAGGATCACAGAATTTGGACTATATACTATAAATCAGTTTTCAGACTGCATACCGAAGTTTGTAAGTATTCTTTGGTAACATACCAGTAGTAGAAATTGCCTTCTCTACGCTTGCTAGGATATCTAGCCATTGTCAGATCTATCTTCTCTTAACTTGTATTTTGAATCTCTAAACGTAAATCGTTTAAAGTCCTGACACAATACAAGGAATGCATATCTGCATGTTTATTCTGGTCTGGCTGCATGAGGTGCAGGGTATGCAGAGAGTTAACCCATGGGTTAGTACCTATGTCAATAATTCCTGCCATGTAAAACTTGAGTTGTCAGCATGTTATTTGGTAAGTTTTACATTGTATTTAGATGTGTCTCCAGTTAACTATGTCTGGTAACCTGGATAATGTTTTCCTCACCTGTTTATATAACAGAAGACTTTCATCTATCTTAGTGTGAAGTGGCTAGTCTGGTACAGGTTCAATATCTCCAGATACACTGAGTGCTCCTGCTTGAACTTCCTGTCTTGTGCATGGACAGAGGAGTTTCACAAGCAGCCAGGAGGTTTCTCTCCAACAGGTGGACATTTTCAGGTCTGCTTAGCTTGGAAGAATGATTCAGTTTCGGATATGGGTCCAGAGCTGGACACTGGCAGATCTGGATGATCACATCTCACCTTAGATCCAGCAGTGTACATTTTCAGGATTAAACTTACTAACTTAGAGCTGGAAGTTAGTGGCCGGTCCCCACTGGTTTATTCTAGTCACAACCATTAGAACTGGGGCACTCTTTCTTTATTTTTGAATTGTGGTGGTGTGTGGTCCTATGCATACACCTCAGGTCACAAATCAGTTGAAGTGAAGCAACGTTGGGTGCGGAGAGTCCTTGTATACGTGACCATGTTTGGCAGCTTGACTCCTGAGAGTTTCTTGGACTTCAGTCCTGCCCCACAATGAAGCACATGTGGTACATGTGGTCTCACTTTAGGCAAGATATGGATTCTTATATTGCGCTAAACTCCACACCAAAGTCTGCTCAAAGCGCTCACAGATTCCACAGTTCATTATTACCACGGATAACCCAAGCTGCCTGTGAGGCGCTAGAAGGCTATACTCACATGACTTATCCCACTGGGTACCCATTTTCTGCTGGGTGAACAGAGGCAATTTTGAAAAAACTCATATTGCCCTTGTGTCGCCTCACTTTGACTTGTGCATTTACATCAGTGGCAGGATATCTTTCGACAATATGCCAATAACATGCAAACCTAATTGAGAATCCAGCTGATTACTGTACACTCATCATCTGGAAGTTTCTGAAGTGAGCTCACATGACTGCTGATGACACATTAACAAATAGGTGAAAGGGATTGATGTTAGGAACTTTATTGTTTGAGGTGAACAGAACTTCAGGTATATTCTGACTGCGAAGTAGTGCTAGAATCATGCATATCTTTATCTGGGATGCATGCTTATTGTGTTGCTTATTCTTACAGCTCACGCTGAGGGGCACTACCAAGAAAGTTTGCAGAAGTCCCAGAAAACTCTGAAACGTGTGGAGGAATGGAGTGAGAATGAAGTAACAAATAAGCAGGAAGTGATTGCAAACTTGCACAGTTGCATGGGCAATGCTTACCTGGAAATGGGCAAGCATGATGAGGCACTTAAACATCATGAAATGGATTTAGATATTGGGAAAGCAGAGTATGTATTTTTATTTATCACAGACTAATCTCTTTGGATACGTATATTCTGGTTATGCTGGTATCAGAAGGACAGTTTTGCTTGGATTCCATCAAGTAAAGATGGTGTCAAAGACCATGTAATAAGCATTTCATTTCACTTTACATTTTGAACCTTTTCATTTGGTTCTTCTCAAACTGTTTCACTCTGATGTGTGATGTGTTTGTGTATATTCTTATCCTACAGAGACTTAGACGAAGTGAAATCCCGTGCCCTTGATAATATGGGTCGTGTCTTAGCAAGGATGGGGAAATATGACAAAGCTATAGAAGTGTAAGTATGAAACATTTCATAGTACAAATATACTACAACAGATGAGCAGCAGAGCTCACACATGGCACGAAGTGCCTTTGAAAATGAACCATGTCAAGAGAAATAATCCACATATTCCAGGGTATTGTTTGATCGGCATTCTAGAAGTTAATGACTTAAATATGATACATACAACTTTATGGATGACAACTTCTTATTTATTGCATAGAGTGATGTTTCGATGTAGATTCTTACACCGTTATAAAGCTAAAAGTTTCTCATTAAATGTCCAATTCTGGGCAGACTTGGTAAGTTACTTCACCTGGTTAACTATAACTGCTGTACCGTCCAGCAGTACATCACCGTCAACCTCAACTTTAACATTGTGTCCAACAACCATCCACGCTTTCATTGTGAATCTTGAAAAACATTACCAGAGGAACATCAGATAAATATGTCCAAGATATTTTTTTGGATTAAACTTTCTTTTTAATTTCCCTCACGACGTTTCGAGACCATTCGTCGTGAGGGAAATTAAAAAGAAGTTTAATCCATAAAAATATCTTGGACATCAATGTACAACTTCTAAATGCCACTGAAAGACATCAGATAAATAGATATGTGCAAAAGTACTCAATAAAATTTAAGAGCCTCCTCATTAATCAAACCCAAATTGATTGTGGGTTGGGCTTGATAATTATTTGTTTTCAGTTTCAAAGTTTGAAAGAAATGATTTAATTTAGTTAAACAATTTCATGTTTAGGCAAAGACACAATAAGCTCTTAGATTTAAGACCCGTGAAGATCCAGGTTAGAATTGATCTTCAGCATTCCATTCTTGTCGTAAGAGGCGACTAACGGGATCGGGTGGTCAGGCTTGCTGACTTGGTTGATACATGTCATTGTATATCAATTACGTAGATCGATGCTCATGCTGTTGATCCGTGGATTGTCTGGTCCAGGCCCGACTATTTACAGACCACCGCCATATAGCTGGAATTTGCTGAGTGCGGCATAAAACTAAACTCACTCACTCACTCACTTAAATTGAAGTTTCGGTTCTCCTGCTACTTTTGTACATGCAAAGGTCCCTTATGTGCTCTAGTTGTGGCTCAACAGGCTCAGGGCACATGTTAATTTTATGGTGGGCTCAGAGAATTTGCTCAGCAAAAGTACATACTGAAAGTATATCACAAAAGCATTCACATTAATCCAACCACGACATATTATTATTATTATTATTATTATTATTGCCCTCTTCAGTCTAGCCAGTCCAGAGGGTAATATGATATAAAACTGATCACATGTGTTATAGGCATAAAATATCAAATTTCTCTTGTTTTGTCTATTGATACAGATTCAGCAAAAGTGTATTTAATCATGGTCATTCAGATGGATCTTTTAACACTGTATGAATATTCTTACAGATGGGAAGAAAAACTACCTCTGAGTAAAACTGCCTTAGAAAAGACTTGGCTGTACCATGAAATAGGAAGGTGTTATCTGGAGGTATCAAGATACGAGGATGCCAGAGATTATGGAGAGAAATCACTTGCAGCTGCAAGGGAAGCTGACGATGAGGGTTGGCAACTACATGCATGTGTCTTGGTGGCACAGTCAGAAGGTAAGGCAACAGCAGTTGACATGTGTATTGGTGACACAGTCAGAAGGTAAGGCAACAGCTGTTGACATGTGTATTGGTGACACAGTCAGAAGGTAAGGCAACAGCTGCCGACATGTGTCTTGGTGACACAGTCAGAAGGTAAGGCAACAGATGCCGACATGTGTCTTGGTGACACAGTCAGAAGGTAAGGCAACAGCTGCTGACATGTGTATTGGTGACACAGTCAGAAGGTAAGGCAACAGCTGCCGACATGTGTATTGGTGACACTGTCAGAGGGTAAGGCAACAGCTGCCGACGTGTGTATTGGTGACACAGTCAGAGGGTAAGGCAACAGCTGCCGACATGTCTCTTGGTGGCACAGTCAGAAGGTAAGGCAACAGCTGCCGACAATCCTTGTGGCACAGTCAGAAGGTAAGGCAACAGCTGCCGACATGTGTATTGGTGACACAGTCAGAAGGTAAGGCAACAGCTGCCGACATGTGTATTGGTGACACAGGCAGAAGGTAAGGCAGGACTGCCGATATGTGCATTGGTGACACAGTCAGAAGGTAAGGCAACAGCTGCTGACATGTGTATTGGTGGCACAGTCAGAAGGTAATGCAGGACTGCCGATATGTGCATTGGTGACACAGTCAGAGGGTAAGGCAACAGCTGCCGACATGTGTCTTGGTGGCACAGTCAGAAGGTAAGGCAACAGCTGCCGACAATCCTTGTGGCACAGTCAGAAGGTAAGGCAACAGCTGCCGACATGTGTATTGGTGACACAGTCAGAAGGTAAGGCAACAGCTGCCGACATGTGTATTTGTGACACAGTCAGAGGGTAACGCAACAGCTGCCGACATGTGTATTGGTGACACAGTCAGAAGGTAAAACAACAGCTGCCGACATGTGTATTGGTGACACAGTCAGAGGGTAAGGCAACAGATGCCGACATGTGTCTTGGTGGCACAGGCAGAAGGTAAAACAACAGCTGCTGACATGTGTATTGGTGACACAGTCAGAAGGTAAGGCAACAGCTGCCGACATGTGTATTGGTGACACAATCAGAAGGTAAGGCAAAAGCTGCCGACATGTGTATTGGTGACATAGTCAGAAGGTAAGGCAACAGATGTGTCTTGGTGTTTTGTTATTATGTATTGTATATTATGCAAAGTGAATAATTATTGCCTGTTGGAGCAACATGGAAAGCCGCAGTGCTTGTAATAGCATGTAACAAAATGTAGACATAGTCTCTCATTTTTTAAATGTGACTGCATGTATATCTGCGAAAAAGAAATGGGAAGCAAGATGCATGGGTATACCTCAAGTATTGATCTTTTAGGGGCAAGTTTCAGTTAATGCAGAAATCCTTGTATCATTTTTTGAGTTCATTATTATCTTTTTCAGTGAAATGCAATGAGTTGCAGGCAGCAGCTGATTCCTTTGAGCGAGCACTAGAAATGGCAGAGGCTCAGCAGGATTCTGCTGCTGAGCAGGCAATTAAGAAAGCCTTAGAAGATGTAAATGACAAAATAGTGAGAGGTGTGAAGGATGAACCAGAAGAAGATGCAGATGATAAACAAAGAAAAAGCAGCCAGGAAGAGAAAACAGGTGAGGACAGATAAGCACACCTGGGCATAATATATCATTGTTAATGTCATGCTCTTAGATGCCTGAACTCATCATGTCTAGTTACACATTCAGTCACCAGAACTTATACCTGTTCTGAAGAATGACTGCACAAGAATACCATTAGAGACAGCCTCTGTTGTCCAAAAGATAGATTGTCTCCTTGGGCAGTGGTAGGTGAGTAGTTTGATCCATCCAAAAACATGTTAAAAGATGGTATCTGCACTTTCCCTGCTTGGTGCTTGGCAAGTTTGTTGCAAGGATTGGTCAAATAAGAGTCGGTATACTGAGGGATAGCCATGGAAACACTGCAGCATGATAACTCAAAAGGGTAGCACTGTAGCTGTTGACTTCTACAAACAGCCAGAATTTCACTTGTACTGTACAAGTACGGTAATCTTGAATGCGATATCTAAGCATTAATGACATGACGCTTGATGTTGTTGTATCAGGGCTTGGAGTTATCCTATAGATGACATCCTTACCTTGTCAGCTTGCTGACGGGGTTAACCTCTTTGGTCATGTGGACAAGGCGTCCGACTTCAGATCAGAAGGTCTGTGGTTCGAATCCCAGCATGGGACACAGGCACAGGCTTCAGATAGCAGTGACCACTGCTCACATCATTCCAGAACTTCAGTGTATCCACCCCAACACAGTCCGACACTGCTTACACCATTCCAGTACTTCAGTGTATCCACCCCAACACAGTCCAACACTGCTTACACCATTCCAGGACCTCAGTGTATCCACCCCAACACAGTCCAACACTGCTTACACCATTCCAGGACCTCAGTGTATCCACCCCAACACAGTCCGACACTGCTTACACCATTCCAGGACTTCAGAGTATCCACCCTAACACATTCCGACACTACTTACACCATTCCAGGACTTCAGTGTATCCACCCCAACACAGTCCGACACTGCTTACACCATTCCAGGACTTCGGTGAAATGCACATGCAAAGCACATGCTTCACACAATATTGCTAATACTATGGATCGCTGCGAAGATGCCAAACTCATTGGGTAATTAATTTCATAATGGTTTCTGAACTGATTTAAAAGATGACAGAATGAAAAACATTGTCTTGACATGGCAGGACATAGACTTTGAGAACATACATGGCAAGTTTTTGGTATGCATGAAACAGGGATGTTCTTTGCTGCTGGCTTGACATTAACCACATGGTTATTAGTTGACTTGTGAGGAAACAGTGAAGGATTGTCCAAGTCCAGGAGGACTGAGGGAGATCAATGACTGTGATGACTGTCTCCTATTTTGTCAGGCAGGATGCAATCCCATGACCCATGCTCAAGAATTGAGCTGGCAATGGAAAGAGGCAGTCTGACTCTCAACCATTTGCATCAGCATCAACGTCATGCAATCTAATGGCCTTTCCTCACAGATAGACACAGACAGGAACGTCGGGCATCATGCATGCTCCTAAAATTGCAACATGACAAGGCGTTGTCTTCCATACATTACCGACAATCTTTTTATCTGTATTAATGTCTGAAGACAACAGTGCATCAAGTAACATAAGGGCATAGCTCTGCTATGCTTCAGACAGGGCTATTGTAACAGCGTTCAAAATAATTGCCGGCCCTGAGAGGCCCAGCGTCAGTTGTTATTGTATCGGGCCGGCAGTTTCAAATATGTGCAGTTGCTGGTGGCCTTCAGTAAATTATTTGTCAAATTTTTTTTTCAACTGGAATCTTTTTTTCCCTCAAACGTTCGGGAATCATCCATGATCCATCATGTTACCAGTGTATGAAATAAAGCCCGTCAGACCGCCCGAGATGGGCTAGATTTCTTATAGCAAGCCAGCCCGTCAGCCTGGTGCAAATTTTAAATGTTCCATACATCTGAGTGATTCTTGGTGTCTGGACTGGTTAAATCCTCTTTGGGCTGGTAACATTATGAAGTTACCAGCCCTGATGTCTGGCTGGGTTTTTGGCTTATTTCATACACTGATGTTACGATAACTTACAGTTTCACTTCCTGGTATTTCACTGCCATGTTGCTGGAATATTGCTGAGTGTGGCGTAAAACTAAACTCAACTCCTGGTATTTCGGCATTTTGCGCATAAGAATATCAACACCAGTCTTCAACAAATAAAAATGTCTCTCTGCACCACAGGCTTCGCTAATTGATTTTGTAGAAACAGTGTGAAACTGTGTACAGTGTAGTCTATTTTGTTTTAATGGTTTGACTTTAGCAAAATGGGCCTGCAGATTTCATTCAAAGTATTGCAAACACTGTATTGTAACTCAGCTCACTTGATAGAAATTTGCTGTGGAAATAACATCAGTATATTTGCATACTGTTTTGTTCATGACTGACTGACTGACTGAGTTTTGGTTTTACGCCGCTTTTTAGCAATATTCCAGCAACATCACGGCGGGGGACACCAGAAATGGGCTTCACACATTGTACCCATGTGGGGATTCGAACCCGGGTCCTCGGCGTGACGAACCAACGCTTTAACCATTAGGCTACCCAACCGCCCCTGTTTTGTTCATGAGGAACCAAAACATTTCAGCACAAATACCAGTTTTAAAACCTATACAGCCTTCTATTATCACAAACCATAAGAAATGATGAACTGATGCCACAATAAAGAAGGAAATACTAGTGACATGTATGACGCTGTCAAATACATACATTCCGGCATTCACTTGATTTTTATGAGTTTATTCTGGGAACTATTGCACCATTGTTTTCAAATGTAGAGTATTGCAAACATTCTTAAGTGACATTTAAGAATGTTTGATTCTAAGTGGTTTAAAAGATATTTCCATTTCCTACTGAAACTTCATTTTAAGTTCAGCCTTTGCACATAAACTCCATGTTTACTAATACATTGATAGACTACATATCTATTCATTAAATGGCTGTCAATAAGCCATCAGAACTGAACCTGTTTACACACCGGACTCCAATAGATGCAGAGTCAGTCACTCCACCATCACCAACAGATGATTGATAACAGATGTTTTGGGTGACAACTTTGACTTTTTTATAATGTTATATTCAGGGTGTCAATATATGTTATAGTCATATACTAGTTTTGTAAATCTGCAATAAGCAGTTGTACTATTCTTTGTGGACATCTGTTATATGGTATTAAATGGATTTATTATGCCCAACCTTTCATAGTCACAATATGGATGAGAGACCGCCAGTGTGACTCATTAACCCACTCAAACTGCTTGTAAAGGTATGTGACATACTGCATACTAACCGTAAGCACACCCCACACATTCAAACTGGAATATGCACTTGCTTGGTTGTTTGTTTCGCTGAGTCAGCAGGGGCTAGTGAGGACATTTATGATGAGGACTTTGAGGAGGATGAAGGTAGTATGTTTGAGTTGATGTTGCAGTGTGTATTGATCACTAACACATGCCTCCTATCACAACAGACATCATGCCTTCAGTAACCATTTCTCTTGGCAGTGTGTAGATGTACCCACAGGTATTACAGCTATATGACACTGTGTGCTGAGTGTATATTTAACGTTTAAATGTCTTCTGTGAAATGGTTGAAACACCAGTACTCTTGAGGTAAAAGCGCATCTAGCATGGAAAAAGCTCAACAGAGATTGATAGGTATCATTATTGGTGTTGTTTATGTTTATGCTGTTGTTTTTGCACTGGGGAGGATCATGCAATCTAAACTTTATGTTCTTAATAAATGAAATGAAAAATATTTCAATTTGTTAGAAGTGACAAGACCCCAACATAAGTGTAATGTGTTACAGTGTATCTTCTCAGATATATGAATGTCACTTTTAAAAGGGTGAAAAATCTTCTCAGAAACCAGAAGTGCTTGAGAAGAGCTGAAGATGTTTTGGATATAAGGGGATAATTACAAAGGGACTATGTTATCCTTGAAACAATAAAACAGAGCTCTCAAGTTATGGTCTCTTCTCAAGGCTTTACAATCTTAACCATAGCTGAGGAAGGGAATATTCTGTCCAGCTGTGATACTGACAAATAACAGCCAAACATGCCAGAATAAATGGAGAAAAATATTCAATATTAAGCAAAAAATGTTGTATGTATGGTTAATGTGCAAGGACTGTTGGGAGGGCAGGGCTGGCAACTAGATGACTTTATCTGGACGGAGCAAACTGTCAGCACACACAAGATATTCTACAACTACTATTATATGATGTGAATGATGGACTTCTACTGATCACTACAACCCCCAAGTTGATAAGTTCAACTTTACTAATGTGATTACATTACAGTTCCTTTTTCTTACTGAATGTCTTCTGCATATATATCCCAAACATGTCTACACTGTAGACTTTGAACACAGTCTTCAATCACACACATAGTTTATGAACCTTTCTGTTGCCCAACCAGTTTACCACTTTTGGTCTTTCGATCACGATGGTGAATGTCTATTCTGGTTTTCCTGAGGCAGTTCTGCTTTTGCTATTTTGTTAGATGTCTTGGGAATATCTTTTATATATTTGTCAGCAATAGTTGATATGCTGGATTTCTGCCCATCACGTCTGGATCTTGTGTAAAGTTATGACCTGGGTATATTTTCTGCCTTTATCACAAAACATGTTCATTTCCAATTATTTTATTGTTGAAAATATACAGCATCACTTGCCTTTAGTGTTGAAAGTGTTTTGAATCTTTGTGATATGATAATCTCAGATTTAACTTACTGTTGTAGTTACTTATTTGGGAACCACCTCCCTTGTGTAAAAGAAAGGTGCAGTACACATTTTGATTGATATTTAATTCTTTTAAAGAATTACAGTTATTTACAAATTTGAATTTGGAAAGGTTTGTGCAACTAATAACTTGAAAAGTATTAGTTCAGCCTAAAACTTTACATTCATATAATGGGTTGTTTTTAGATCTGCGTAATGGCTTCTTTGTGTTTTTGGTCAAGAATAATCTTTATTAATGATTATTAATGTTTAGCTGAAGTTGGGAGTCACAGTCATGGTTATTAATGAGCCTTGCTCGCAGTTTTTACTTGTTTGTGATATTTAAGATTTGTACTTCATTTTTACATTTGCACTTCCAGCACACTGAAAGCTAAAACTATTTATAGTCATTACTCAGCCATTTGCTTGAAACATTCATGGAACTTGACCTGTGTGTATTAAATAATGAGGCTCAACAAATGTGTTCCATGTTTTAATCTATTTCTGCAACATGAGGACAAGGTGTTGTCTTCCATACATTACCGACAGTCTTTTTATCTGTATTGATGTCTGAAGACAACAGTGCATCAATTAACATAAGGGCATAACTATGCTATGCTTCAGACAGGGTTATTGTAACAGCGTTAAAAAAAAATCGCCGGCCCTGAGCCCAGCACCAGTTGTTATTGTATTGGGCCGGGCTGTTTCAAATATGTGCAGGCCCTTGTGGCCTTCAGTAAATTATCTGTCAATTTTTTTTTTCAACTGGAATCTTTCCTATTTTTTTTTTCCCTTATTAACGTTCGGGAATCATCCATGATCCATCATGTTACGATAACTTACAGTTGCCATTTGCTTGAAACATTTATGGAACTTGACCTGTGTGTATTAAATAATGAGGCTCAACAAATGTGTTCCATGTTTTAATCTATTTCTTACCTTGATGTGGTGTTTATAGTTTGCCACTAAACATACTCACATTCATCAACAGCATATTTTAACCAATGTGCCCTTGATGTCTCTCAAATGGATTCTTGTTTCAATTAACCTCCACTGCATGAAAACGGAAAGTTTGCTTTCCTGATCCTTCAGTGCATTGTGATTTTATCATGAGTTATTTGTGTTGTAAATATTCTAGTAACCCTTCACAACAAGATGCATGGTGGTGAAAGGTATGCCAGAGTATTTTACCAACAGCTGTCAGCATAACAGCTGGAACACAGGGATATGTGAGAGTCAAAGGTCACAGTTGGATCAAATATTAAAACATGCCATAATAACCTGGTTTGCATTGTCCTGTGCCATACACATTCCATAATGATAGAAATGCACAATGGCCCAGCGAAAACTACAAATGTTAAAAATGCAGTGGGGCCATGTTCATAATTTGATCCTGTTTTCCATTTTGTTCAAAGTTTTAGCTTCACACGCCTTACAGTTTCATAGAACTGAGTGGACAAAGGAAAATATGTTCAGATATATATTTATAGGGCATGCGGTACCCTTAAATGCCAAAACCACAGGATCATGTAACAAGCATGTACAGATTAGCAGTAAGCAAAAGAAATTTCACTTTCTAATTCTGTCTATTCTGAGACAATTTAATGTATTTAATGTATTTGGTGACATGTGAAGGTTTGTTATCAGCTGATACCCAGCTGGATTAAAAGGTGTAACTTTGGACATAAACTTTCTGTTTCTGGAAATTCATATTTATCCCAAAATGTGGTTGGTGCTTTGAGCTAGCCTTTCATCAAATTGTTCTGTTTTGTCTAAAGCTGATCATCAGATCCATACAAATATTTAAAACCATGATTCACAAATCTATTGTAGGTGAAAACAAAGATGACAACAGTCCTAAGATAGAGGTTGAGGCTTCCAAGGATAGCTCGGATCCTGATAAAGGTTAATAACCATATGTTCAAGAGATTTATCAAGCCTATGCTGACTCTTCAGTTGTGGTTTTTCACTTTCAGAACTATCCCTGGACAGTGTTTGAAATTAAGTATGAAAGTCATAGGATCCTAGACATAGACTTAATATTGCGAGGTAAAGTTCAAGGGGATCCCAAAAGTCACATACTACTGAATCAAGCTATGAGGATTCCATGACCTGCTTAATTTCAAACACAGTATTTTGCTGTACAGAATCTATCACTCAGATACTGTAAATCTTGAAATTAATGCCAGAGTGAATCAAATGCGAAAAATGTTAGTGGTCCTTGCTTGCATTAATCAAACTTAACTCACAATTATGTTTAAGAAATGACTGCATCACTTAAATATGGAAACAATCAACTCGATGTTCCACATCATGGTTTATTGAGCTGTAGATGTAAAGAGTATATTCCAGTAATACTTGTGTCATTCAAACACTAGAAATTGCATAACGGACAATCGGTGAGTCGTCATTGCTGTGAGTTCCACTCACTTGTCAGAGTAGATATCACCATATTCTCAAGCAAGTCAAGCACACAAGACAGTTACTTTGTTCTAGGAGCCTGCATCAAAGGCCGAGATAGAGAAGTGCGCCTGGGTAATCTTTATGATGCTTATTCTCAGATATGCAGGCCCTGTCTTGACTGCCTTTAAGTTTGTTGATACCTTCTTCGCATACCAATTTTATCAAGGTTTTGAATGGTTCTCTATACTAAGGTGCTGTTGATTGTTTGATGGAATAATGTAAAGTTTGATTAAGGTAAGGCTTAAATACTTCACATGTAAATCTCATAGGAGCCAATTTGTCACGACGTTTAATGACACCGGGACTGGAGGGAAGTCACATTGATATTGAGACACACTTTGGGCTATCTGCAAGCATGAATTTGGAGGTGCTTTAATTTCAAGATTTACAGTAGATGCAAAGGTCAATGCTTCTATTAATACCAGAGTGAACGGCAAACCCACGAATAGGTTCCTTTGTACAATTGCAAGTGATGGTTAAAAGCAACAATATGACCACCCCTTGTTTCATCATCACAGAGCCAATATTAGATGTGTATAGTTACATCAGCTACATATCATAATTCCTACAAATACCTTCCCTCTTTTATATTATTGCCATAAACCCTGTATATTGGTTGTCATTACCCTTTAGAAATATTCAGATTTTCAAGAGAAATAATCTTCACTGTCAACTATCCATGACTAGTACAAGTACAACATGGCATGATAGAGTTGGGAAAACTTTGCTTGTTTCCTGTATGTGCTGGTGTGAATGATGAAAATCGTTTTACATTAACAAAGCATATTAGTTTGGTAGTTGTCACAATGTAATTAAGATCTCCAGTGTATCCTTGAAATACAATCCGAAGCATTTTTATAAAATTTTGGTCCAAACACGTTATCATACCCTCTCATACTGGAATGCACATGCAAAATATGGGATTCACACTCAATTAAAAAAAATATGGGTTGCATAGTTACATGCTGTGAATGCACCATTTGAGTTAGTTTTCTGAAAAAATTCAGAAAGTGACCCCACTAAAAATAAACTTTTCTTGACATGTCAAGTTGTATGATGGCACGTTATTGGCATGTCAGAATTAACTTGACCACATGCTTATTGATTGTCTGAGTCCAAATTCGTCTGGCAAGATGCAATCCTATGACCGATGCTGGAGAACTGCACCAGTAATGGAGAATGGGAGTCCAGCTCTCCACCAACACCATCTGAAGCAGGTTGTGAACCTGAAACCCAGATGGGACTCAGCCCAACAAAAGTAATAGAATCTGTACTTTTCTGAGAACGTGTAATCCCAAATATAACATGTGTTGCATTTGACCACTTTCGAAATGGCATTGTGTATTCATAGAATGGCTAATGTTGACAAGAAGTGATTTTCCTACCAGGGTAGCAAGATGTCTTTTCTTACACAATTTGTTATTGGTAGTTCACAGTGAAGAGGGCTTCTGTTGGAATATCTGAAGATTTTTGTATTATATATGAATATTTAACACAATAATTGCTGTCTCTCTGAATCACCCAGCACCTATCCTTTATTCCCAGCATTCTCTCTATACTGTCCAATGTTGCTGTTTTGTAGCATGAGCTAAGCCAGGCCTCTTGCATGGAAAATGTACTTGAACCTTTTGACCAGAAGTAATATTCATTTATGTACGTACATGTTTATCAATGGATGTCAAGTTTGTCTCAGTGATATCTATGCATGTGATAGTCCAGAAGGCTCTTCACGTCTTCCTTAATTCTTTTCATCAATTAACATTTCTTTTGAAAACTAACATGCAACCCTCATTTATTACAGTGGTAATTATGTACATTATATATTAACCTTATTTAGACTTGACCAATATTATGCTCAGTGCAATGACAATCCTGATTGGTCACAATGATGCCTCAAGCTGGTCGTCTTAGAGGTGGCCATGGTAAGTCTATGTATGTCATGTGTTGACACCTGTGTATTACAACAGTTCCCTAGTCTTGTAAAGGTGCTTCGCGATCTGTGGACAAACCTGGCTGTAGCCGAAGCAGAGTCACCTGTCTCCTTTCGGGTGATGCCGTTGTTGCGTTGAGCTTCATGGCATGTTTTCACTTTTCAGTTGCTGTGTGGTTGGGATGACAGACAAATGAAAACCCTTCATTTTCATAGCCAGACAATTCATATTGCACATTCATTTCATGGTGGTGTGTTTGGCCGCCAGAGTTGCGTTTATTGCAGGTATTCATTTTGTGTGAATATCAGTAAAACCCAATAAGATCTTTCCAGATGTTTTTTTGCTTTCCTTATTTTGCAGAGCATATTAATGAGTTTATGTATTTTTTATTATTTACATACTGCCGCCATATAGCTAGAACATTGCTCTGTGCACGCAGCAAACAACAAACATAGTTACTTATTTCAACTGACACTATAGCTTCTGAAGCCTGAGTCGAGGAGTGGAACCGAAGTTAGGGCTCTGTGAAACTTGCCATGATGCATGTTTCTCACGCATGGTGCAGATTGGTGTTAACTTTTGTGAAGTGTTTGGTGTGTCAAGCATGACAAGTCTGGAAGTAATGTACTGTGCCACCAGCTAAATGACACACCAGAGCCATATCCTAATAGAACAGTGTGTATTGTTTTAGTCCTTGTTTACAATTGTTTAAATTACCAGTAAGCATGATGCATGTCTGAATGAAATAATAGGTAAGATTGACATGCACCTGTACACCATCATTGTAGAACTTGTACAGCTGGTGGCTAGGATACAATTCAAGTTCTATTAAAAGAGAAGTTGTCACTCTTACGTATTATTGCTGTAGCCTTTGGCAATGTCTCTGAGCATGATTCTCAGAGAAAGAAGTGTATGTTTCAGGTACAGACAAAGATGCTGATGCAGATGACAGCAAGACAACAGGGACAAAGAAATAGATCGTTCATACACTGCAAGGAAGTTGAATGTCTTACCAAGTTGGCAGCTGCATCATATCACCCACCTGTAGTCCACTCCTGTTTCAAACAACATTCTGTTCAAAAATTCACTTCATCTTTAAACCTTATCATGCAACATATGTCAAGTGTTTATGTTTAAAGTAGATTATCAAAATGAGGAACACATCATCTGCCATTTGTCAAATATTACTCCAGATTTCAATCCAGAAAGAACATATGTCAGATTCAATTGATCCTTCTATCAAAGTCTATTAAGTTAGCAAATTCTCCACCCACATTCAAGTGAAAGGACATGCATGAGTTTGGCATTGCTGTAATATGTTGTCTATCATATCCCTTTTGGTAGACTAGAAACGTTTATAAATATCCTCTTACAAGTGTGTAAGGGACTGGTCATTTGTTGGGATGAGTGGATGAGATCATGACAAAAATGACAGTTCTGAATCTTTTTTCCAAAACAAACATATTATTAATGTGAACATTGTGTAAGACTAACAGTTGGTTATTTGTTTTCCATAACTATCACAAAGAATTTACACTACGCATTATTTGAACATTCAGTACTTTTTAATAGACTGTGGCTCGGGAGTCAAGGGCAGTTGACTTTCAGGCACACTGGAGTTCCTCTAATAATCATCTATTGACTCAGTGAAGAATCTTGGGGGGTGTTTTGACAGTTGCTTGAAAAAGTAGAAGCAGGTTAATGCTGTATCTAAACCCTACTACTACCAGATTAGGAATCTTATCTAGGAATGCATAATTAGTTCTTAAATCCAATATTAAATATGCTTTTTACAGCAACTATGTGCAGTCTCTTGAATACTGTCAAATTGCATGTTTTGCTCCACAAGTGTCTCTCTGAAACTTGTTGGTCTGAGAAACTGAACTTTGGCATATATGTTTCTGTTTATGCTGACATCCTATTTTGTTCAAATTCATGGGATTTTAATGCGACAGTTGCAAAAATTGTAAGGCTGCAAGGTGAAATTTTCTGTTGAGTGAATTTATCTGTGGTGTATCACAACAGTGTTCAACAACAGTACACACATTCTTGCTGATTAAAAATCAGGAAAATTAAAATTGTGATTAATTTGTGGTAACAGTAATACTTTTTTTTATCAGAAACTACTTGATAGCAACTGACGGCAACTTTTTAGAAATGTCTGTGTTTGTTGGCACTTAAACTTTCCAAGCATTTCAGTGCCATGGCGGCATTTTATGCTTTGTAATAGTGCTTTACTGCTATGATAAGCTGATGTGTATATTGTTTATGGGACTTTTAGTTCAGATTATGGTGTGCTGAAGACGAAGACTACACAAGGCCATTCCGTTTTCTTTATAACTATTTATTGTTTCAGACTTTACAGCTGAAATAAATTTGTTTCATACACTTGTTTTATATTCATGCTGTTAACAGACTTAGCTATATATATGTGTCATTATTACACATACACATTACACATCATACTAGACAGTCGATTTATTCAGTTTTATGAAAATCAGGAATACACAATAGACGGTGCAGCTCAAAGATGAATGGCTATCTTATATACTGAATAGCAAAAGAAACGCAAGTTTTGAAAAAATGAAATCTCATGAAGGTAAGCGTTCATGTTTATGGAACGTTCATGGTAAAGTGACGTAATGATCCCAGATGAGATATGTCATGCAATTTGACGTCCATACGAAACATTCGCACAAACACACCAACAGTGCAGCAAAACCATAATTTTAGCATGTGCATCGACGGTTATGGATGAAAAGCATGCATTTCACTCTGAGGTATCCTTTATATAAGTTTGTGTCAAAAAAACAGTTCAGTATTGACGCTAGGAGGTGTACACGCCACACAAACGATGCCTAGACTAACGACTCAGCAGAGAGGAATGGCCATTGGAAAGTTACACGGAGGTAGCTCTGCAACCGCTGTAGCTAGGCAATTGGGCTGTCATCTTACCACCATTACACGACTTGCTCAACGTCATCAGCAAAGCGGGTTGCTGCTGATCGTCCCCGTACCGGACGGCAACGAGTGACAACTCATGTGCAAGATCGGTTCATCCGGGTCACTCATCGAAGGAACCGAACTCAAGCAGCAACAGTAACAGCAGCCTTAGTTCTTGGGTCAAGGGGAGCAATGCCAAGCGATACGATTAGGCGTCGTCTTCGGGCTACTGGAATCCACTGCCGAAGGCCATATGTGGGGGCAATTTTGGCACGTCAACAACGCCAGCGACGTGTGCAGCCCTCACACAGCAAGGGTGTCGATGGATTATCTGGCTCAGAACAACCGGATATGGCTCTCATTGAACATTCTGGGACGAAATTGGACGGAGGATTGCTGCAGGTAGACAGCCACTCACACTTGCACAGTTGGAACAGATTGGTGTTTGAGTGGAACCAGTTGCCTCAGGCATTCTTTCAGACTCTAGTGAACTCAATGAGGCCACGTTGCACGGGCTGTGTGCAAGCTCAAGGTGGCTATACGCGCTACTAAAGAAACTGTCACTTTTCGCGTTCAGGGGTATCTCCATTTGACGGACTGTGATCAATTTGAACTTATTGCAATTCAATGTCAAAAGCAACTTTTAGCTGTTACATTGACAGTGTTTTCTATAGAATAAATGATTAGACATAATTTGGGTTGTCTTCTATTCAAAAACTTGACAAAAAGACAGACTTGCGTTTCTTTTGCTGTTCAGTATATATATATATGACCATATTATAGCTAATATTGTCAATGTCATGATCATGCTGAGGCATGTCGAGATCTACAGCAGTCAGCTTGATCCACCAGACCACTCCATGGTGTTGTCAACTCATAGATACGGTCGACTGGGGAATTAGCATGGAATTAAGATGTACAATATGTTGAAGACAGTTTATCCTCAGCTAGCTCAAAAATGGTTCACTGGATCTCAAAATCCGTCGTGTGTAACGATGTGGTAAATTGACATTTCTATAGCCAAATAAGCTATTAATTAAAGGGCCACTGATCCAGAGCAATTTCCGTCGACTGGTTGTTGCTTTTGTTATTGTTTTTCTCCCGTGACTACCCAGATGATATCCCAGAATTCATGACTGGTAAGTTACCTCTGCTGCGCCCCCCTCATGCGCAATTGATAAGTATAGACTGATCAACTAAGATGAATTCTTGTTTACTCGATAATCTTGATTTTGTTGTAAAATTATGTAGACTGTGATGAACAATTTGGTTTCTTAAAAAAAATTCACTTTGATAAATATGCTGATTTTCATGTACAATTTTGATTCATAGTAATGTTGACTTTATAAAAATGTTAACGTATATGGATGTAGAATTTGATTTAAGAAATAGTTTGACCTTGAATTTGGTGAGAAGCCTGATATAATAGCATTGTTTTGAAAGTAAGGCTAACTAAGTACATGGGGAGTCTTGGGGAGAGTAGTGAGCTTGGGTTCACTAATAGTCAATCTGAATGTTGTATTAAATGGCATTATTTTGATAACAAATGAAAATATTTTAAGTTTAACCATCTGCCAGTGGTAAAAAACGTTAGGACTGAAATAACGAAGTCAATGTACGTCTTTATATTTTGTCTTCTAATCCTAATTAGTTTATTATCATATTTGAATGCATTTTGAAACTTAATAACATGCACACGATCTGCTTATACTTAGTGAATTTATAACATGACTGTAATATCTAGACATCTTATAGATTGCCAACATGAATCACATTTCACACACACGCCCTAGTGTATGTTGTCTGTCTCATTACACTTCATGGAAAAAAAAAATGATTCTGTTGAATGCCATAACAAATAAATTAAAACAAAATGCAAATATTAAAATTAAAACACACTAAAGTTATAGCAACAATATGAGGCTATTACCTTGTCCGGGGGAATGTATCCATCAATATCCACATAAAGGAATGAGATGCCATTCATCTGCAGCTGACAAAGTATCCTGTTCCATGTCACGTGTCTTTTAACAGTCTAATATGCGAAAAAGTGATCTATCGTTTCAGATTTTTCTCATTGATGTATCCCATTGGTCACCCAAGATAGCACACCTGGCAACTAATTGCATGATGTCTGCCATTCTTTAAAAAAGTAATTTAGTTAGCCAATAATGAGCAATCAATCAATGTATTGGCGGTTAATCCTTTGAAGGAAGGACGTTGTTTTTACAAAGAGACTTTACGACAGGGTGTATTGAGTATAGATTAGTAAATCGACATACATAAACACTACCTTTTGACGCACATATTACATAAGATGCAATACATTTGCCACATCAGACTTCAATTTATAATGATGAGTATTTACTCCAGACACAAGAAATGCCAAATGGGAACATTTATCGGGTAATCTGAGTGGTGTTATCACTAATTATACCTGTTATAAATTCATTAACTGACCATCAAGTGAATGATGACAAATAACGTGTAGGTTTACCACCAAACAAGGGTTACAGCAAGAGAGTAGTAATCGCTGTATTGCATGCAAGTTTGAATGTCTGGAAAAACAACAACTTACGGGCCGACACTGTTTTGAGGATATGAACGGATCGAACTTCATTGTTACATAAAATATGTAAGCATTTGCTGTGTACATAGTTAAAAACTGTTTAGTTTATGGATTCAAATATATCAAATGTGTGTTTTTGATATCATAGCATACGTAATAGACATCATATCTTTACATGATTAAATATCGAGGTAAAAAACACTGAAATAGGATCAAATTGGATTAGTCACTATACCATCCAAACATTTGAAAATCTGAAAAAGCCTACACTGCTGGGATACTTTATTACAAACAGACAAGAACTGTAGGGGATACTTTCAAATGACGGCATGTGATGGGCATCCACCCTTCCTAATGTCCCACTGATTAGGTTGAAGAAATTCTGCCAAGGTGGACAGTAGCCCAGTCCCCGTGTCCGTCACGGTCGAGGGAGCAGGGGCTGACCAGTTTGCAGCTAGGTTTCGTAATTAGACTGTTGGCTGGAAACATTAATCGCTGTGGATCAGTGGCCCTTTAAGTGTGTATCAGACATCAGGTCTCCGGTAGAATTGTGACCCTACTGTACTCATAACCAGCATGGAGTAATATTCGTCCACCTTTAGGATGAGGTACAAACTTGACCTGAACCATATTAGCCATGGTGAATAATGATGTCCCAAACACTTCATAGTGACACAGTTGACCGCCTCCGTGGTGTAGTGGTTAGAGCGTCCGCCCAGAGTGCGGAAGGTCGCGGGTTCGATCCCCAGACACGTCATACCAAAAGATGTTAAAATGTGGTACTTGTTGGTCCCTGCCTGGCGCTCGGCATTTATGGGTACAACAAGAACTGGTTGGCTTGGAGTCAGTATAATGTGTCTGAGTGGGGTATTCATGCTTCACTGCGGCATGGTATCTCAGTGGGCTAGCACTATAAAACCAGCTTCAGTCTGGCTAGAACAAGCAGCCGCACATCCACTTACACACGCATGCACGTTGTCATATGAGCAAAATATTCTCAAGCGACGTTAAACCCAATTTCACCTCACCTCATAGTGACACAGTTAAAACAACAGGTGCCGATTAGGTGCCTGACTCTGAGGGTGTGGGTTCGAATCCCGGGTGGGACTCAAGCCAACAAAAGTACAAGAATCTGTACTTTACTGAGAAAGTGTAATCCCAAATATAACATGTTACATTTGACCACTTTCTAAATGGCACTGTGTATTCATAGTTAAAACAACAGTTAAAAAAAAATAATTCAAAACCTGTGAACAAAATTAATCAAAATCAAAGTGAGCACAGTTCACAAAATCAAACTTTATTTACCCGGTGAACTCAGTTCAGTTATTTGAGCTAGCTGTCACTAAGTGAACACAGTTCAGATACAGACAATAATCCCCCAGCCCTAATCCCCCATGAATTTCAATTTTGAGCTCGCTGAGAACACCCCGATGAAGATGAAGGCATAGTTGAGTTCCTGCTCAACCCCAGTGGGCTTCCTACGAACGTCATTATCCTGCTCGCGGTCATCCCTACACAGACAGTCGGAATACCGGACTCCTTGAAAATATAGATGTGAGCATATATATACAGTTTTTGACAACAATGGACAGGCAACGACTCAACAATGGACAGATAGAGAAACAATAGCACTTCCTTGGCCAGTTGATGTGATGGCAGACACAGCCAAGGGGATTGACCAATTAAGGCAATAAATGTCATATACAATAATTAATGACAGTGACAAGGTGGTACAGGGTGGCTGACAAGACAATGTACACTGTGGTAGTGATAAGGATTAAGATTGCAGATTAAATAATTACAATTAACTGTCACATTTCTTGGCTACATAGTTTTATGGACATTTTAAATATTTGGACGATGCCTGTCCA